CCCCCCCCCCCCCCCCCCCCCTAAAACAATTTACAATCTCAATCAAAGAATTCTTCATACCTCCCGTAAAGATACACAGTTAGTTCCTCCGCACTTGGTACGCGAACGAACAAGAAAAGTCTAGCCTAACATCCAAGCGTATGCATGCATGCATGCATGCATATGTACATGTCCTGGGAGAAATACACTCGACACCCCCCCTCGAACAAGCGCTTTCAAAACCCTTCTTTTTTTTTTTTCCTTGCCTGCTTCTTCAGATGTGTGCATGTGCTTGTCCTTCCCATCATTATTTTCGCCCCATGACCACCTTCCCTTCCTCCCCACCTCGTCTCTTGTCCCTAAAAAGAAGTAGACCGTCACCCGAGAAGCCGCTCGTGGATGAACGGTCCATACTCTGCCGCTACTACTACTACTGTGGCACGCAAAAAATGAACAAAAACGATCATGTGCCTAGCATGAAAGTGACCTCGCAAGGGCCCTTCCTGCCTGTCCAATCGCTTGCATTGTCTCCTCACTCCGTCGAAGTCCTCCCCCCCCACACCGACAGCTCTTCCTCTTCTTCCGGCCGCATGTAGCCCGGGTACGGCAAGATCGACGGCGACGACATCATCTCCTCCTGCCTCCCCTCTTCCTCGCCCCCGACGCAAGACACGAGCGCCCACAGCGCGTCGGACGCCCAGGTCTTCGAGCTGGCGGCGGCGGCGGCGGCCGCGGAGACTCCCTCCAGGAAGCCGCCCACGCCGCCGGCCTCGGCGGTTGGCTTCTTCCCCGCGTATAGCCCCTTGTTGCTGCGCAGGTGGCAAGGATGATGGTGGGGGGGGTCGCCGCCAACGCTGTCTAGTCGGAGCAGAGAGGACGCGACGCCGGTTCGCGGAGCAGGGAGAATCTCGCCTGGATTTGTAGCGAGAGCGACAGCAGCGTCGGGGAGCAACCGCAGGCCGGGGGGTTATTTACGTTGGAAGGTGCAGCCGAGGTGGGAGGCGAGGGCAGGATAAAGCAGTAGTCTGCTGAGGGCCGCATAATCAAATTCTGACTACTCGAAGTCAAGAGCTTCAGCGCGGGGTCTTACATGACATGTCTGTCGAAATTATTAGTACCAGAGGTGACCAGTTGCTATGCCAGGTACACGCACACGCGGCGTCTTCGCTCTATATAGGGATATAGGGATGTGGGTGAAGANNNAAGCGAGCGTTTAAAAATTAACTCAATCAACATAAAAAACCACGCCTTTGCTTGTACCACAGACTTACCCATCGGCGTGCCGTCAACGTCGATCCAAATCCCCCCTTCTCGACGAGGAAACATCGAGGAGGGCTCAATCTTGCCACTCTCCCCTCTCCGTTCCCCCGCCCCCACCCACCCCCCCTCCTCGGCTTCATCTCCCCACACGGACCGGTCAGAGCCGGAATAGCTGTCTTCGCTGCCGAAGTTGCTGCGATTCGGGCTGTTGCTGTTGCTGCTGCTGCGCTCGCTCGCGTCGTTCGCGCTCGACGAAAGTACCACCTCTTCGCCGCCCGGCCCCCACCCCCCTTTTCCTGGCGCGGTGTCCCCTTTCTCCCCGCCGGCCGCCGCATCGCTCCCGTAGTCGGCTCCAACGTGGCTGCAGACGCTACCGTTGTTGTTGACGGCGGCGGCGGACGTCGCACCGGCCGCGCGAAATGTCTCCTCCGCCGGAGCGCTGTCCGGCAAGCCGGGCCACGAGTACAGGAACGACACGTTATCCTTGGGAGGGCCAAGAACGGCGGCGCGCCTCCCCGGAAGCGGCTCGAACGCTGGCGGCGGCAACCCGCCGCCTGTCGTGTCGAACGATGTCAACGATCCCGCGGCCGGCGATGTCGGGGTGACGAGGCCTGGCATCGATCCGGTGTTCTCGGCGGCAGCGGCAGCGGCGGTGGCGGTGGCGGTGGCGGTGGCCTTGACAGCGGCGGCGAGGCGGGACGCCGCCGTGGCGTGGACGAGCGGGCACGAGCCGACGGAGCTGGCGGTCGAGGAGAAGTCGTCCAGCCCGGCACGCCTGAGGTACGCGCGCTCTTCCGGTGTCCTTTTCGAGGCGCCGGCGGTACCGGTGCCGGCGCCGGCATCACCTGCTGCCGCGGTTCTGTTGTGGACTGCCTGTCTTCCTGCGTTGACGTCGACGAGGTTCAACACCTGCAGGTCCCTTCGTGAGTGTTTTCCGCTCGGCGGCAGCATAGCTTTCTCCTGCGGGAGCACATTGATGACCCCGCCGCCGACGGCATCAAACCGGGATGAAAAACCGCTGTCGCGCTTTCTTAGCGGGCTACTTTTGTCGTCCGCACTGTCAGGCCCAGAGGTAGGACTTACGCCCCGGAGCGACAGGTAGCGGTCGATGTCGTCATAGCCGTCGGAGGAGGGAGAAGGGCCGCCGTGGCGCGCCGAACAGTCTTCTTCTTCTTCTTCGTATACGTAGGAGGCCGTCGACACGCTGCCGCCGCCGCCGCCTGTGCTCGACGGACACGCCCACCTTCCCCCGCTGTCGCATGCGCTGTCGCGGCAACAGCTGTTGTTGTTGTTGTTGTTGTTGTTCCTGCTGTTGTCACCTGGCCGGAAGTCGACTAGTTCCAGCCTGGGGTCCGACCATCTCACCAACAGAGGATGCTGCCGCGCCGCTGGCCGCCACCGCCGGTGCTGGCCGTCGTCGTCTTCGTAGCGGCGTTCCGACGGGTGTGATGGGGCCGGGGGTCTGGGGGCCTGGCCGAGCGGGGACGCGGGGCTGCCTCCCCCGCCGCCGGTGCTTTGGTCCCCGCCTGCCGTCCGCGAACCCACCAATCTCAGGCTGCTGCTGCGACCGCTGCTGCAGCTGCTGATGGCCCCGCTAACGCTTCTTCCCCGTAGGTTTTGCTGCTGATCATCATCGTCATCGGACTGCAGGCTGTGAGGCCTGCGGCCCCGACCGACTCTGGAGCCTCGGCGGACGATCCTGCCGCCGTTTCTCGCCCCCCTGCTGCTCCCGGCGTCGGCTTCCGACGACGACGACAATGATGATGTTGTTGCTCCCCCCGAGGAGGGCAAGGGGGGGCGTATGGGTGTCGACCCCGCCCGGTCGTCGTCCATCTCTAGCGGCTCGACCCCGCCGCTCGCCCCTCCGGTAGCGGTGTCACCAAAAGAGAAGGAGGAGGAGGAGGAGGAGGAGGAGGAGGAGGCGGACGGTGGAGTTGGTCCGGCGACTTTGTTGTCGTCGATGCTCGCTGATGCCGCCCGACCGGCTGCTGCTGCTGCAGCTACTGCTGCTGACCCCTTAACGGCGAGTGATAACGTCGACGCCTGAGTCTTGTCGCACGGCGAGCGGGAGGAGGGCGATGGAGCCATGGCTTGTGGAAGCAAGGAACTTGTTCTTGCCTCGGAGGGGTGGAGGTCGGTGGTGCCTGCCCCGGGGAGTGGTTTCGTCGCCAAGGTGGTGTCGTCGTTGTCGTTGCGGAAGGCGCGGCGAAAGTCTGGACACGAGCCGTAACGGGAACCAGAAATCTGCGCGTGTTGCGCTGGAGGGGGGTGGGCGCGGTGCGTGCAGGTGGGGAGAGGAGCAGGTGTTGGCAACTCTGAAGGGGTCCTACCTATCTGCGGCAGGTACATTCGCCGAGATACTTCGTTCCACATGCAAAGTATAACCCCGACATAATTATATTTCTTCTTCTTGCCCCGCGAACGAACGCCTATCGAGAGATGCACTAAGCAAGCCTGTACATACACACGTCCGTCTCCTCCGTATGCGTGTGGCCCATGGTCGCCGGCTATGAGGTACATAGACGCGGTAAAAAAGACCCTACACAATAACGGCAGCGCATAAGGCGGTGTGTGTGTGGCACATGAACGTTCACACCGCACCTACCCGCAGAGCAAGCTGTAGGATACTGTATGCTCTTACACACTATACAAAGAGCGTCGATTGCAATATGTAGGCGCACGTCAAGTGCGCGCGCTGGAGCCAGAGGAAAACAACAGCTGGGAAAAACGAGCACACAACGACGAAGCAGCAGACGGACCCAGACTGGCATTCCGTATGCTTGTGCATTGTACAAGTGTCGGGGGGGGGCGTGCCTTTGTGTTTTCTACTACTGCCAAACTACCAATACATGAATCGGCTTTTTGTATTTTTCTTCTCGCCCTTCCCTTCAGGAACAAAAAAGACGTTCAGCAAGTACGTAAATGTGTATGATACCACAGCCACTTCGAAGTACTCTCCTCCCGCAGTGTAGATGACTGAGATCGAAATGTTTTTAGTTCCAAAATAAGCACCAGGAGCACTAATCATATTGGCGGGTGATGTACGACGGCGGCCGTGGGTCAGTTATATCGGAACCCGGCGCCGCGAACGACCCGCGCGTTTTCCGTTGCGAATAACTTGGGTGCCCATCGCCGTTCATTTCAAATCCTGTTTCTTCACAAAACAGCATCGGTGTTTCTAGTAGTTGTGCGGCTGCTGCTGGTGTAGAGAAGGAAGAGGCAGAATACTTCCCGCCAAGCGGAAACGCACGTCTAGATCATCCACAGCTTGAGGATCACGATGCCTAGTGCTGTGTAGACTAGGTGCTTTTCGCGACGGAAGGCCAACCAACTACAGCAGCAGAACTGCCTGCGACGATTTTTGAATTTCGATTTGAAGAACAAGCAAGCGGTATGTACCTCTTCATCACACATGAAACACGAAAGTCGACTTTTCATCCCCACCCTCTCTCTCGCTGTGTCTAAAGGAGACACAACAAGACGCCCTCGCTATGTACATCTCGTTGCAAAAGATCGGGGAAGCCAGTGTGTTCTCTCCCTTCTGGCCCGACTCCCTCTCCGCGCTCTCACCTACGACCACCCCATCATGGCAAGGAGGCGGCGGGGATGCGCTGCGGTCTGCCGTTGTTTCAAGCCCGGCGAGCCAAGTCCCTCGATAGACGTACACGTCCACGGCCTTCGCTGTCGCTAGAGCTGCCCCAGACGACGACGATGCCCGGGTGAGGTTCGAGCTAGACATCTCGGCGGTGTGTGTTGTTGTGTGTGCCGCGAAGGAGACGAGCTCTCTGCAAAGCAAGCAGAGACCTCTCTATCTACCTGTGCTGTGGCTGGCTGTGGTTGGTGGCGGGGTCTATTTTTTTGCTACCTCGGTTCCTGCGCAACAACCGTGGGGTCATTGCACACACGCCGCGTGTTGAAGAGGCGAATTCCGGGCGGTGGTCGTGTGTGGAATTAAATGAAATCTCCTGGAAGCTAGGAATGAGACATGAACAGGTAGGGTCATGTTCGTATCAGAATTAATTGGCGCTTTTGAATATCCTGGCGAACGTGTTTTGTGATGAAATTGTCGCAACACTGATGATGACCACCCAAGAGCCCATGCCAAAACGTATCGGGAGTGTCTCCCGTCGGGACCTTTCGTGGAGGGTGATCCTTCCATGACAACACGCATACCCAGCCAAGAGAGAAAGAAGGGCACGAGACGGGAGGACCAGTGAGAGACAGGTAGGCGGGGACAACGGTATGCACATGCACGTCTACAGCAGCAGTAGTATCACCAGATCACCAGGTCAACCGCCAAAGTAGAACGAAAAGAACGTACGTCGAAATGTCTTATTAGCGACAGTCTCGGCGACAGTCCCCCGAAATAATCTTCAGGGGGTTGTATTTGCACATAGCGTGTACGGTCGTGCCGTCAACGAGCGGGAAGACTTCCTCCAGCTTTGCTTTCCCTCGGTGGAGATTCGAGATTTGCAGACGTGCAGACCTGCAGACCTGGAGACATCACTACCACTAATACTCTGTCGTACTTCGCAGTAGTATGAAACAGCGGAATCTTCATGTATGTTCTTTCCCGCACGAGACCAAAAATGGAACGTATCAACTGTAACTTTGTATGCAACACAGCAGCGTAGTCGATGCTACATCAAGCAGTCATACATACATACCCCGTCTCCAGGTGTTTTTCAACCTTTTCCTTTTCGGAAGGCGCGTGACCAAACGTTCATTTAGGTCGCGACTATTGTAATAAAAGATACACTTCACCGTCAAGTCTTCTTGAACATAGCACGCATAGCAAGTGGACTTACGCTGCTGTATAGCACAGACAGGTTGCCTTGACTTTGGTCTAGGATCCACCCCTGAGCTGAGCGGAGCAGTGTCTCATTTTTCTTATTTTTTAGCGTGAAAAATGCGAGCGAGTGT